GGTGGTTACATGATCGCCCGCCTTCCATGCAGTGATAAACTCCCCGTTTCATCGCTTGTCTTTACTTTAATCGTAGCAGCAGACGTGATAATAGACGAGGCGTGGGTGTATTTAAGCTCCTGTCTTCTATACAGTAATTTCTCCTTCAGCACAATGAGCAGTTTACGTTACAGGACCGGTATGTGGGTAGAAACATGACAGATGGCTGGTTCTACACGCTACATGCCAGATTCCTCACACGGGACAAGTGATTATTTCCTCTAAACTGCCCTTTTGTTCCTGTGAGTTTGCTCCTCTTCCTCCATGCCTGTGTGCTGATGAGGAACCGGATCGCCCCGTAAATTGCAGGTTGTAGAAAGTGCCACAGAACGGGATATTTTCAGGAAGTCGCATCGCGAACGAGCCCACGTACGGTAAACAAAAGGCCGTGACACCAGAACATCCGACAGGCAGCCTCGCACTTTTAACCAGCTTCTGAATCAAACGCTCCCGTTTGCAGCTGAGTCCAGACGAAAGCGTCACGGCTGCCGATGAAAACTGAAGCTCTATTTGAAGAGTCGCCGAGGGCGATCATGTAACTGCAAGACTGTTTCTCTATGTGTCTGTTAGCACAATATCTTTATAACCACTGGACAAATTTTAATAAAGCTCTCAGAACTTTTTCAATGGATCTTCAATTACAGCTGATTACCATCTGAGGCCAACCTGATTCAAGATGGCTGCCACAGCTAGTCAAATTTAGAAAAAACAAAAATGGCTATAGATTTGTCAAATTTAAAGATTTTGAGCTAGATTTTGGTGTGGTAGTAGCTGAGACTCCCTCTCAACACATATTTTGAGTGCTACCTAATCGTGACAGAGTTTTGTTTAAAACTTTGGTATGAAAATTGGCAAGCGATGCGGTTTTAAAACCCCACGTTGTTCAGAACTCAGCAGTACGAGTTGTGAATCGTTTCTTGAACGAGCTCATCCCTGCAGTTTATCAAAGACAGCGAGAGGAAAGAGACATCCGGCCTCGGCGAGGATCAATAAATCAATCGAATAAACTCAGCTTTCAGGATTCTGATTGGCTGTTTAATCAGACTGAATAAAACTAAAGCTGCGTCGTGATTGGTCGAACCTCTCTGCGCTTCTAAACAAAGGTGATGAAAAGGTCAAAGTCAGCAGGAGGCTGAACCTTCACAGCAGCTTCTGAAGCTTTGCACCTGCAGGAAAATGACTTTTTCATGCTTTGACGCTCTTCAGGAGCAGCACCCCCGAGGACAGAGAAACAAATAAACTAAAGCAAACACCGGCAGAAAGGGACGTCCTAATTCAGATTAATAACGACAGAAACTATGGGGTGCTGTTTGTAAAGTTACACAGTCAAAAATTAACATCAATATTTTTGTCTTTTTAGCTTTTCATAACAAACAATTTTTTTTTCAAAGTCATATTTTCACTATGTTATTCATACATTTATAAATGTCATAATTCCAAACTAAATATTTAATTTACACCTAAAGATTTAATTTACACCTAAATATTTAGTTTACAAACTAAATATTTAGCTCCACACTAAATATTTAGTTTACAAACTAAATGTTTATGTCCAAGCTAAATGTTTAATTTATTAACTAAATATTTAACTTGCAAGTTAAATATTTAGTTAATGAACTAAATGTTTAGGTGTAAATAAAAAAAATCAATTTCAAAGCTAAATATTTATTTTCAAAACTAAACATCCATCCATCCATCCATCCATCCATCCATTATCTTTACCCGCTTATTCCATTTTGGGTCACGGGGTCGCTGGTGCTCATGTCCAGCAATCACTGTGCGAGGGGCGGGGTACACCCTGGACAGGTCGCAAGTCCCAAAACTAAACATTTAATTTCAAAACTAAATATTTAATTTCTAAGCTAAACATTTAATTCCTACACTAAATTTTTAATTTGCTAACTAAATATTTAGCTCCGACCTAAATATTTATTTTCCAAGCTAAACATTTAATTTCCAAAATAAATATTTAATTTACTACCTAAATATTTAGGTATGAGCTAAATATTTAGTTAGCAAATTAAATATTTAGTTTAGGAATTAAATGCTTAGCTTAGAAATTAAATGTTTAGTTTTGAAAATAAATATTTAGTTTGTAAATTAAACATTTAGCTTGGACATAAACATTTAGTTTGTAAACTAAATATTTAGTTTGGAATTATGACATTTATAAATGTATGAATAATATGGTGAAAATTTGGACTTTGAAAAAAGTTTATTTTCTTATAAAAGGCTAAATAAACCAAAAAACATTGCTGTTAATTTTTGACTGTGTAACTTTACAAACGGCGCCCCATAAGAAACCAGGAACGTGTGTTTCAGCTTTCAAGACTTTTTTTTTCTTTGTATTTCAGTTTAAATTATGTTTCTTTTCATCACCCCGGTGGTTTTGTTGCAAAATCCTAAAACAACAGTTGTCATGTTGTGAAGTTTCCTGAAAGAAATTATTTAATTTGCAATAATTACAGAGACCATGGAGAACACTAATTATATTTCTGATTAAATTCTAGCCTGGAGAGTCTTTTAGTGAGAGCTCATCAGGCTGGTAAGAGTTGAAGAAAAAAAACTGTCCATTGAAGATAATTTGTGGCACAAAAATATAATTCTGAACATACAAAGATATGGCCACTGTCAGTGAATACAGAATTACTTGTGTTTTTGCATTTTAGCAAAAAAAAACGCACCCAGCCAGAGCTCGTGTGCCGTTAAAGCTTGTGTAGTCACTGTTGTGGCTTTTTGTGTGTTTTTCACCGTTTTAATCACAAGGTTTGACTAATAAAAGCTTTAAGGTCTCCCTGGAGACAAGTCGGCGACTCAAACTCAACTCAAAACTGAAAGAAAATATGCAAAGTTTTCGTTCCAGTATCACCAAATTCTTCAGCCGAGCGACCAGCGAGCCGTGCAGCCACATTTAGAGCATTCAGTTTTTGAACAGTGCTCAATATTTTACTAGCCACCTGTGCAGTCGCCCCAGCGTTTAGGATTTAATCTACTGGAGTACACCTTTTAAGTCAGATTTGTGCTAGTTTAAATATATATACTGTATATATATTGTCGGAGTGGTTTTAAGACCTGGACATTCAAAGTTGAGCTCTACAGCGATGAAATTTATCAAATAAAATACACAAGGAGGAGTTCAAGACAACTCTGATTATTTTGAGAATTTGTCTCATAAATTTTAGAAAATCTTCTAAATCTAAGCAACAAGAGAGCGAGACGCATAAGGAAAGAGAACTCCCGCAAATGTTTTTTAGACATTTTGGGGTCTTTGTCTCAGGTGGAGGAGTTCGAGTGTCTGGGCGTCTCGTCCCTGAGTGATGGTTGGACGGAGCGAGAGATGGATCCATGGATCCATGGATCGGGTCCTCGTCTTCAGTAATGAGAATGGTCCTCCTGTCAGTTGTGGTGAGGAAAGAGTTGAGTCCAAAGGTAAAGCTCTGGATTTACTGGTCTGTCTACGTTCCAACCCTCACCTCTGGTCATGCGGTTTGGATCAGGATAGAAAGTAAATAAACATCTCAGTTTCTCTGAAACTCCAGTTTCAGAGAAACTGAGACGTTTATTTTCTAAACAACGTCCCAGTGGCTTTTAAACCCCAAAATACATTATGGCAAAGACTGGTTCATCCCAAAGATCCAGTCCCCCGAGAGTAATATTGTTTATGCTGTTCAGTGTCAGGAGGGTGGTCAGTCATACATCAGGGAAATTAAACAGCCACTAGCCAAAAGGATGGACCAGCACAGAAGAGCAACATCATCAGGCCAGGACTCTGCGGTCACTCTTTCAGGGATGAAGATTTTCACATCCTTGATCTCTAGAGGAACGGTGGTTTGAGAGAGGAGTAAAGGAAGCCATCTTTGTGAAGGTAAACCATCCATCATTAAACAGAGGTGGAGGCCTCCATGTTCAACTGTCCCCCTCTTACACTGCTGTTATTGCTAGTACCACTCAACCCTCTGTGAATAGCAAGCGGCCATCAGGGCACTAACTATCAGTGGTTAGGCTTATGGTCCTTCTTTATCAGGTGAACAGCTAGTTTTGGATGTCACCAGCAAACTGGTTGATCCACTAAGAGAAGGGGTTATTAATAAGACTGAGTTTTTTGCAGCTCCTCTGAATGATGAAGTCAATTGGACTAAAGCCGAAACGTTTCAACTAGTTGTTTTGGGGTTTTTTTTAATCCATCCAGAACATTTCAGCACCGATATCTAATGATGTTAGGGTCAGGATAAAGTAAGACAAACACAGAAAAAGCCTGTAAAGATGGCTTCATTGTCGTTTTGGTTTCTAGGACACTTATGCAGCAGTGTGATTTAACAGCGGTACCACCGGCATCTTCTAAAGGATGTGTTCAGGTTTATGCCTTAATTCGTTCTCGGTGCTTTGTGCGCCAACACACAGGTCGAGTTAATTTTCTCCCATCAATCATTTTCTGCAGAGGAGGCGTCAACTTGTTGAAGCAGCGGATCGATACAGAACATCCAGCAGACAGAATGAGAGCATCGAAGCGAAAATGCAGACGTGACAGTGAGTTAATTCCTTTCAAAGTAAGAAGCACTTCGACACACAGGTGGTGTGCTTTCACAGCTGGTGTGGGCGAACTCACAAAGAGTCAATAGTGACCTTTAAATTTAGTCAACATCTGGATGGTTATGAGGTCATAACGGAGGCAAACAAAACAGGAAATCAGCATCTAATCTCTGAATAACTTTCAAATTAACAAAGATTGTATTATCTTTAAATACAACTCCTGCTTAGGAACAATGAGAACAAAGTGACCAAAACTATAATTTAATACCACCACCAATGTAATTATTATCAGTGACCATATGAAACGAAAGCCTTTTTAAAAAATTTTTAGCTCTTTTGCCTCTTCATTGAGCCTATCCACCTTTTTGAATTCCCTCCTTAAGCCTATCTAACATTGGTTTTCCCCACTCCAACACAAAAGTACGTCTTACCTTGTAGACCTGCCCATAGGTGCCATTTCCAACCAGCTCGACCAGCTCAAAAATCCCAGCTGGGTCCTGAAAAACAGGAAGGAAGAAGTGAGCGAGGAGAAAAAAAGTCAAAGATGTACAGGAGAACTTATTCTAAATGAACAGAAGATGGATGAAAGACGCTTAGACGGGGTTTAACCTTCACACGCACAAACACACTTTAATTAAAAGGTTGAGTGAGCTCTGCATACCTGTGGCATTACCTTCCATAAACTGTGTCAGCACAATTATTCACCCAATAAGTCAACTTTTCAGCAAACCCAGGAGCAGCTGTGACTCAGCAAGTCCAGGAGGTTGTTCACGAATCGCGCTAACGGTTCAGCGTGACACGAGAACCCCCGTTCAGTTCGGTGAACCAACTGCGTCATTATCATTAATGATGGAAACACCTGTGTGGCGTAAAAACAGTGCATGAAGCTGTACACGTGACAACGACTTACTGTATTTTTCGGATTATAAGACGCATTAAGCGAAACCAGTTCATTTTGACAGAATTTTGAGCGCTACGTACCACATGAAATCGGTTTGAGGTCAGTAAGCACAACCACAATTAATACATAAGTCGCACTGGATTATAAGACTCACTGTTGATTTTTGAGAAAATTAAAGGATTTTCGGTGCACCTTATAGTCCGAAAAATACGGTAATGAAATCTGTTTGCCAAACAACCCTTTTTTCTAATTGTGATTTTAAAGATATTAATGCATTTAAGCTAGTTTATGCTGTCAGGAATTGACATGGTCAGGGATCCTCCCTCGCCTGCCACCCAGCACCCGACCTTGACGGTCCTCCTCGCAGGTGGTGGGCCCACATGGTGGATGCTTTCTGTCTCTCTTTTAAGCTTGACACAGCAGAGCCCTGGAAGCCAAGACTTGACCACCAGAAACACGCGAGCTAGCTTCCCCAACCAGATCCGGCTCCATTGGGGTGCACCCATTCCCTATTCCAGACGAAGTTTCCTGATGCATTTGTTGCTTCTTATTCATCAAGGTTTTTGACTCGCTCTTGGTCTGACTCCTGCCCCGATGCCTGTTTGCCATGAGAAACCCTGCTCAAGTTAAGGTGAACATGTGGAATGGAACTCAAATTGGAGAAACTGCTCCTCTTCACCAGTTGAGGAGGTTCAGGCATCTGATTGGGATGCTTCCTGGACATCTCTGCCTGGAGGAGTTGCACCGACCTCGGGGCAGATCCAGAACTCTCTGGGGGGTTTATATATATCTTTTCCAGCCTCTCTGATGGTAGGACGGAAAGGGTTCTTTTTGACCTGTTGCCTCAGAGACCCGCCTTGGATAAACAGATTAAGATGGAGATGCAGCATGTTTCTGAATAACTATCCCAACAGTCTCCTTTAAAGTGTTGAACAAAACACCCAGGTACCATTAACCTATCAGCAACATCTTTTAAGTTAGTTTTATCTGCAGTCAAGCGCTAACTCATCATCACATCAACCACTGATTGAGTCATCATGGAACCGTTTCTGACTTTCTTATCTTGGCACACACGTTTTGTTTTATCCGGAAGCGATGGTTGTGGATTTCAGATGGCGCAAACACAACTACCACCCCTGACCCGCGTGCGCGCGGTGAAAGTGGTTTCCAGTTACAAGTTACAAGCTGTGCACCTGAATGACAACCTCAGCTGGGGGCAGCACTACACAACCAGCCTGATCAAGAAAGCTCATCAGAGACTGGCGGCTGAGGCGAGATGGACTAGGAACCTCAGTCCTCACCTCCTACAGGTGTGCAGTGGAGAGCATCCTGTGCTCCAGCATCAACGTGTGGCATGGAGGCTGCACAGCTGCAGAAAGAAAAGCTCTGCAGAAAGTGGTGAAGGCTGCACAGAAGTCTGTTTGAGTCAGTCTCCCCACCATCACAGACATCTACACCTCTAGATGCAGGAAGAGGGCCACCTGCATCATGAAGGACCTCACTCACCCAGCACACACTTTTTGTCCCGCTCCCCTCAGGCAGAAGGTTGCGGAGCATTAATCGTGGAACCTCTAGACTGAGGAACAGCTTCTACCCTGAGGCTGTTAGACTCATGAATCCCTAACCAGGATAATCACTGTAGGGAGAAAAAAAAATCACTTTAATTGGTGACATGTGACTTACATGTGCTGCTGATCTCATGCTGCTGATTATTTCATGCTGCTGTATTCATTCAAACCCATCTGCTCACCACAGACTCATGTTCGGGCTGCTGTTGATACGCCGTATTGTTTTACATTACGAGTGTTTAGCGTATAGATCTTTTAGCGTTCGTTTAGCATATAGCTTAGATCCTTATATACTGTTTCTTTTTATACTTTTTATTTTGGCTATTTCTGGGTGTAACGGGACTCCGAATACACAATTTCCACCTCACGTATCGCATGTGATGCAAATGACAATAAACTTGAACTTGAACAGGACAACAAAAGACAAACTGCTGATAACACACTTAAAGCTGTGCGCTAGGTGCATAAGGCTAATTTAGTCATCTCTCGCACTACATCAACTAATGACTTGTAGTGGTTTGTTATAGAACTAAATCTAAGTTTATATTTTATCCTGACACAAAAATATAGTTGTATCTAGATTTTGATGAGCAAACAGAATAACAAAACAAAAACCGTAGCTCAGACATTGTTCGCTGCTGTAGCCACAGCTAATGCTAACGTAGTTAGCCTTCTATTTGAGTTGGTATAAAACCAAATCTGACTTTTTCTTTTTCAACATAATTTTTCTTCCTTTTCTTAAACACTTCTCATAATTATCATGTTTCGAATCCTCAGCCGTTGTGGTTTTAACTTTGTCTATTTTGATTTTAATCTGGTTTCTTCAGCTCTGCAGCACTTTGGTCAACTCTGCTTGTTTAAAATGTGCTTTAAAAATAAATTTTGACTGAAGTTGTTTCTGTCTCCAGAAGACTTTAAGTGTTTCGTTTAGAAAGCTTGAAGGTTAATGATTTATTTTTAAGGAACGCTGATTAGTAATAAAGTTGCTTCATATCATTGTCTGATGTTGCTTTTAGGTCATCTGATACGAAATTACTAGACAAAGAGGTTGGAATATCTTTAGCGTTATTCTTTTTTTTTTTAATGAATTGAAAGGTTGAATAAAGTTTGATGGTTTTAGGAGTAAAAATCCACGACGGACATCTTCTAAATCTTTCTATAAAGAGTTTTAAACAACTTAAATGCTGAGAGAAAACCAAAAATCACTCAGTTCGTCTTAACGCCAGGTTGATTAAAACCACTAAATCTCCCAAAACATGAACGTATCTGAAAGCAAACGTGCGTTTGGATTAAAGTGTGTGTGTTCGTGTGTGTGTGTTGTACAGTGGACCACAGAGCATTGGGACTCTTACAGTGCAGCTTCCTGAGAGGGATTAGCTTAAAAAGCTGCGCTCCTTTTCACTCAAGGTCAAACAGAAGCACGTCTTATCCTCGAGGGCCGAGCCTCCACGTGCACGTGCGCGTGCACACACACCTAACACAGCTCTGACAGTCAGACCACTTGTAAGAAAAACACAAGAACAAAATCTACAAGGTGGAAAATATGACGAAGGGCGGTCCTGACCAACATCTTCCACACACAAACCCTTGACCTGCGGCAGGTAACTCCAGGTGTTCGCTTCCTCCCTGTTGGCTTGCTCTCAGCCTTCCACACCTGTGAGCTCAGAGATAACTCCGTCTGATCGATGACAGATTATAGATAAAACCAAACCAAAGGTGGAGGAAGCTACTGAATAAACACTTGGTGTTTGTGTTAAAGATCAACTGGATTGTGTCCGAGTTAATACCTGACAACAGGTTGTGTTGTGTTAAGACGGTTTAGTTCAGTGGTGTCCAACCCTGGTCCTGGAGGGCCACTGTCCTGCATGTTTTAAATCAGGGGTGTCCAACCCTGGTCCTGGAGGGCCACTGTCCTGCATGCTTTAGACCGGGGGTGTCAAACCCTGGTCCTGGAGGGCCACTATCCTGCATGTATTAGACCGGGGGTGTCCAACCCTGGTCCTGGAGGGCCACGATCCTGCATGTTTTAGATCAGGGGTGTCCAACCCTGGTCCTGGAGGGCCACGATCCTGTATGTTTTAAATCAGGGGTGTCCAACCCTGGTCCTGGAGGGCCACTATCCTGCAT